TTTGGTTGTCCGTGGTTCTCCAAACTCCAATTCGAGGGTGAAGTCTAGCCATTCCTCAGTTGATAGGTTGAGAGAGTGGCTTGTATCGTATCCCATTCCTCAACTTAGAGTCTAAGAGGGTAGCTTTGGCTGGTTGTTAGACTTCCCTTCGGTTTATGACCCCCTAACCACACACGCTCGTTCGAGTCATCAATTCGTAATTGTTAACTAGGGGGAGCAACACCCGGATGAAGCTTTCTCAACTAGAGTGAAATCCATTTTACCTTCACAAAGTAATTTAGTTTTAGATCTTTGTTTTCACCAAAAATGATCCGCTAGATAATGTTTCAAACACTCGAAGTGGCGGTACATGGACCGGCCCGGGTCGATATTTAAACATACTTGCCCTATATTGTACCCATCTAAGATTTATACTTGGACCTTAGGTGAGATTTTATTGTGATAGTTAGAGCGAGTCAAAGGCCACCTTGATTCTCGCGAACTGGAATGTAATATTGAGGTAGCCACCACCCTTCCCCACTTGATTTCAATATTTGAAGAGGTGGTTATTAGTGAGGAGATGCAAGATGAGCCTATCAAAGACATCGCTTGGAAACTTGCTATCCAATGCATGCTTGTGGAAGAGAGAGGAAAGGTAAGAGAAGAAGTTATGGATGAGGTCGAACTAGTTGAATAGGAATTCCTTAATACTCCACAAGAGTAGGAACCAACATATGAAGAAGGGAGGGTGGTATATAAAGCAATCAGTTTTCATGCTAAAGATGAAGTTATGGTGTAAGAGGCTTGCATCGGACACGAGCTTATTGTGAAACCTCCACCAAACTTAGAGGAATTGGTTGGAAAGGATCCTTTTGTGATCACTTTATACCCAACCAAAGCCACATCGTCATCATTCTCCTTTAATGGATGCGGTGGTGGAGAGTTGATGATGCCTTATCCGGTTTGGGGTGAAGAGAAAAGAAAAGAAGAGAATGAGAGGTCTCAATGGTGGAGGCTTCATCTTGCTCAATTACATGAGTAATCCTCAAATACCATTTCATATGCTCATAACTTAAGGCTCCACCTCGATGAAGAGAACCTTAACTTGGAGGTGCTAGGATACACTGAAATTTAAGGAGCAACCTTCTAACTTGTAACGTAAAAGTAGCACTTAAACCAAATTTGATTTGTATTTATTTTCCTTATTTTTATCTTTTTGTGTGTGTGCTATAGTCAAGTGTGAGTTTTGAATGATCACCATGCCATGGTTGATGTGTTTTGATCGATGCTTTTGTTGCGTTTGAGTTTGGGACACGATTGAGTTGATTGAGGTTGAAAATGGATCAAATCCTCCGTTTTTGCACACATCACGATTTTGGTGTTTTTTTCACAACCCCAGACATTGAAAAATACCATCAGGCAGTAATGGCAGTGATGTTAGCTGGGCTTTTTGTTTTTTTGTAAGAATCACGGTTTGCGTGTATTGTTCACGGGCATATCCTGTGATAATTAAAAATACCATGATAGCATCCTAAAACTAACCATTTTCGGTTGAGTTCATGGTCTACGTGTTAGGATCATAGTCTGAGACCATGAGATCAACAAGAAAACTATGATGTTCGTCTTCGGGCAGTATAAAAGGGGCGTGATGTTTGCTCAAACATGAACTCCACCCTAACAGGAAAAACAGAATTCCTCGTCATAAATCATCTTCTCTGACGGTTTTTTGTTGTTTTGATCTACTTTCGGCTGCCCTATCCGAAAATCAAACACATATGCAACCTCCCCACCCCTAGGCACACCTTCGACGAGCTTTTGGGGAGTTTTGGCTTAATTTTGACGCCAGAAACCCTCTGCGGCGAGACTCCAAAGAGAGTTAGGCAAAGCCCCGGCGCCCTCTTCTGGTCACTCATTCGGCCGGATTTTGACTTCCTCGTCTTCCGCTTCAATCTTACTTGTGTTTCCATGTGTGTTTTGAACTAGTGTCTGTTGGTCACCGAGGCATGATCTAGGCTTCCATTTGAAACCTTTTTTAATATATTGAACACCTAGTTTTACGCATCATGTGTGCTTTTGGGATGATTGTGCTTCTATGTTGATCATCTGACGTTGTGAAACGCCTATGTAGGCATGTTACCTATATTGGAAAATAATTTTAGGGGAGTTCATTTTTTTCCCCCAATGTGCTTTGTCTAACAAATATTTTCACAAATAGTGCTTGTTGCTTTTGTATTTTAGCATGATGGTAGATCCAAACTACCCATACCTCCATATGGTAGTGACTTTATCCCAATTTAGGAGTAGATTTTCGGCTTGGCAACGGGCCCCTGTTGGCCCTCCTTCAATTTGAGGCTCGAATTGTAGGGCTATGGGGGCAATAGTGGCGCCACCTTTTCGAGCTTCACGATGACATTTACTTGGAGCTCTGCATTGAGTTCTACTGTACCTTCTTCCACTACCAAGACAAGGGACCTTATGGCCACCGCAAGCCCTATGTTATGTTCGCGTTGGGGGGACAAGTCTGAAAGATGAGTTGCACACATCTCGCCTAGGACATTGGGCGGGATACTGAGAATATGTGCGACCATGAGGTTGATTTATTAATGACCTCGATTCTCAGTTCGTGTTTGACAAGGTCCGCCTACCTCAGCACCGACAGGTTAGATATGACCCTACACGCACCATGGCGAATATGCTTCAACCTCAGTGGCGCGATATCTATTCACTACTTGCCCGATCCATTTTCCTAAGTGATCGGTCATCCAACAAGGTAACCAGAAGAGTTATACTAGCCTTTGGCACCATGTCATTGAGCAATTACACCTTGGATCAATTTTGGAAACTTCATTTTCTAAGGCAACGAGCAATTTCCGTAATCGTACCATGCATTTGAAGGCTTACATAAAAAATTTACCCCGATATCTCCACGTCGACCTCAGTATTTGTACCAAGGTAGGGCGCACTACAAACTTCCCGAAGGGGAGATAAAGTTCCATGCACTTACTTTGCAGTTTTGGACCCTTCCGATACATTGAGGGTCTTTTCCAACCACCAGAGTCATCCTGGAGAGCTCCACCACTGCTTCGATGTGGCCATACTGGTTGTCTCATCATCATCTAGAGTCAGTCCTTCCTCCTCGGGCAACCTTGAGGCTAGAGTCCCTGCTCTTGAGGGCCAATTTTTCGGAGTTTCATCTCAGATTGCTCGAGAGCATGATGCCCGACGTCATTGACACAGCGTGGAGGAGGAGCTACTCCGAGCTCAGGGTGTCCCTTTTGTTGAACCTGATTGGCATTTGTCCCCTCCTTACCCGGAATAGTCACCACCAGTCTTGAGCGCCATGTTGGCACCGAGTACTACCATCTCATTTCTCTCCATTTTGACTCTAAACTCTTCTTTTGTTGTTTATTTGTGTTGAACTAGTACCACTGTGTTTTTCTTTTCTTGTGATGTTTGACTATTGTCATTGTGTAATAACCACGTCATGTGCGAGCATGTGTTTATTTGTTTTTGTGTTTGTTCCGCGTGAAGCGCTCTATCCCTCAAAACTGGTCTATCTCTAGTCCAACTTTCCCTCGCCAATGATTCGCTAACCTCGTTCCACCCTTATTCTTGCTCATTGTGAACAATGTCGTACTTAAGTGTGGTGGTGTGCATGATTGGTTGATGGTTGGTATTGAGATGGTTTGGAGCCTTGACAATGTCGTATTTGTGATTGGTGTGTGAATAATGAGTAAGAATGCCCTATTTGAATGGTTTGGAGCCTTGTTATTGCAAAATTTCTACAATTTGAGGGCTTCGATCACTTGTGCATGATGGTTGATGGTTGGTATTGAGATGTCTGTAGGAACCTAGATTCCATTAGAAAGTTTAGGGGTTCCGAACACATTGTCCCAAGTATGTTCTTGCTCAGTGTACTTTGAATTATCTGATGATCGAGATGGTGTGCATTATACAGATTAGTGCGGCGCTACAAATATTTTATTTATCATGTGCAACTTTACTTCTATTTCCTCTTTGATGTGTTCATAATGTTTGCTATCGAGATTAGGACATGTGTGTGGAACTCTACCCAATTTTGGACTCCAAAACGTTTTGCAAAAGGTGCTCTGATTGGAAAAAAAATGTTTTGAAACATGAGTGTTCTCACGTGAGAGGCAACCGAGCATAGTGTTTGAGTTAAGCTGGCAAAGGACCTTTCTCTTCGTCAGGAGTGCCTTTTGAGGATGTGTTTGGGGATCTGAAGCTTTCTAGCGTCCAACCATCATCATTTACTACTTTCCATACCCCAAACACGTCTCCTCCTCACGGACTTGTATAATAAGGAGATAGTGTGCATCTACACAATTTAAAGAGACCTCGACTCTCATTTTTATCCACATGTGTAGCAACTCGTCTATTGAGACGATGGAGCGGAACTTGGTGCTTGAGAGAGCAGACTAACGTCCAACACTTCACCTTTTATACTATTCAATCCTCAACCATCACTTTCCCTACATGAGGGTGAGATTAGGGCTGGTAATCGGTCGGTATCCGGTATACCGGATACCGAATAGTCGGTATTGGGTATACCGGATAACATTGTGTACCCACCGAATACCGATACCGAATGTTATCCGGTATACCGAATACCGAATAGTCGGTATCCGGTATTAATACCGGTATACCGAATACCGGTTAATGCATTGAGTTATGTTTTCGAGCCGGTATACCGACTTAATACCGATACCGAGTGGGCTGATTTGGGCTTTTTGTTCTTTTTATTTTTATGAATGTTGTTTAATTAAATGATGTAAATAATTTTGTTTGTTTATTTATTATTACTATATTGTATTGCTATCATCTAGCAAGTTTTATTAATCAACAATTCACTATTAGTTAATAGTAATAAGTAATTAGTTAATTAGTTGTTTATCTAATAGTCCAATACTCCATTACGCAATGACATTGTTAATGTCAACTACATTCTAATTTCTACACAAGTAGTTAGTAGATAAATATAGCATTACTACTACATAAGTACATAGTCTCAAACATGAAATAGATCACAAATTCCATCATCTAACAATCAACAATTCAACATAGTCTCACTCTCACAACATAAGTTACACTTACAAGTTCCAACTTAAAATAAAATTCTCCAACATAAAGATAGCATAAGTACACCACTAAGATTGACCACTAGCTCCTCCATCGCTAATATGGCGCGAACCGCCAACATCGGCACAACCTTGCTTCTTCAAAGTGTTGAGAAGAACATCATTATCATCCTCCTCTTCATCCTCCTCTTCATCCTCCGCTTCATCCTCCGCTTCATCCTCTTCGTCTTCTTCTTCTTCTTCTTCTTCTTCTTCTTTTTCTTCTTCTCCATCACCATCCTCCTCCTCAACCACAATGGGTATATTACTTGGCATATCACCTACACTTTCCATTCGAGCTTCAAAGGTACTAGTGACTAAATTTAAGGGGAAAAAACAAATTGTTAGAATTCATCAATTATCTTGGAAATAAAGTGAGTGAATAACTAAAAACAAATAAGAACTATTACCTCTTTCATAATCAATCTGTTCTTGATCTTCTTCTTTATCATCAACTTGGCCTGAATTCTTACCACATTCATACCGTATCCAATCTTCGGCACAAATCAAGGCCTCTACAATGTTAGAGTTCAAAGAAGACCTAAACGGACTAAGCACTCTACCTCCACAACTGAAAGCAGACTCTGAGGCAACTGAGGAGATTGGAACTGCCAGGATATCCCTAACCATCTCTGAAAGGACGGGATATCTAACACTGTTCCGAGACCACCACTTCAAAATGTTGAACTTCTTATCATCATCATCCTCATTAATAGCATCATCAACATCTCTTAAATAGATGTCCAATTCAGAACTACCTCGAACCCCCTTTTGAAGTTGCTCCTTTCTCCTCTTCCTGAACTCAGCATCATATTTCCCTCCCAAAACACTAGTACCAGCACTAGCATCACTCACAGTAGGAGTAGGATGAATAGTGGTCTCAGATTCAAAATAACAATCCCCTTCCCCATCCCCTTCTCTCGCACTCCTCCACTTTCCACCCTCAATTCAAAATAACAATCAAAATTCACAATATCATCTAAGTCATCTAATTCACACATGCTACTTCTTACTTACATGCTACTTGATGACTGATGCTGCTTTTCTAATTATTCGTGTTTGATTGTTGAGACTTGAGAGTTGCCTGCTGTTATACCCTCGAGAAAGAGCTTATTACCTTCGCCTATTCACCAAAATCAACAAAACAAAGTTAGCAAATCAGGGGAGGGAATCATCATCAATGGTGGCTGGAAAATGAGAATCATTAACTGAGAATGGGGAGGAAATGGGCCTTTAATTACCAGCAAATACTCTCTGCCCTCGAGAAGAGAAGAGGAAGACAGACACGGCACACGGGGAGTCGGGAACTGCTGCTGGCCTGCTGCCCCTGCCTGCTGGGCGATGGCGAAGTGAAGAGAAGAGGAAGAGTGGAACTGTGGAAGACAGGGCTCGGCGCTGCTGCTGGCGAAGGGGAACACAGACGACGCGTGGACTGGTGGTGGAGCACGGCGTCGCGGCAAGCTGGCTGCCAGCGCTGGGTGCAGGGGCTCGCCGCCTTCCCGCTTCCGACCTTCGGCGCAGGGTGCAGGGGCTCGCCGCTGGCTGCTGGGTTTCGACTGGGGCGGCTGGTTTCGACTGTCGACTGAGGAGGCTGGAGGCGGATGGAGTGGAGGCTGTCTTGGAGAGGAACAGCGACAGACGAGGTGGAGGCTGGAGGGCGGGCCGCGGGGGGGATCAGATGCAAAGCGGAATTAGGGTTCCCCTTCCCCAATTCCACTACAGCGCTGCGCTGCGTTTTCCTCTTCTTTTTTTTTTTTTTTTTTGTAATTCGGTATTCGGTATACCGATTTACCGTCGGTATATAACCAATCGGTATTCGGTATACCGTTTGTCCGAAAATGGCAGCCGAATACCGATACCGCCGGTATTCGGTATACCGAATACCGATTGTAATCGGTTCGATACCCGGTTATACCGAATACCGGTTACCGAATACCAGCCCTAGGTGAGATAGAAAATTCAATGTACTTTTTCTCTTAGCCACCAAGAAAGATGCCTTGATTGCAAAAATAAAAGTGCAATTGTGGTGCCATGTGCGACAATGTTTAAGTTGAGGCTCAAAAGTTTGAGTCCTCTTTTGAAAAAGAAAGTAGAAACAACACCATGGAGTTCTTTGCTTTTCACATGTTTTCTTGAGAGTCCCCAGTGCACACGTGAAGTGTCTAGACCTCTTTAGTTGGAAAGGTCATGATGTAAGCACGTTATCCCTCAAGAAAGTCAATTTCCAAGTATTCCAAGTAGTGTTGAAATCGAGGAAGAAGGAAGTGTTGAGTTTGGCTAAGAGAATAAAAAGCTTCAAGGTACCTACTTTGGATGCTTACTCGTTTATAGCTATTCGAGGGAAACCAGGAGATAGAGGTGAGAGTACAAATCTTGTTGAAGATAGTAGAGGCTTCAGGTGAGAAGATTGATGTTTCCTGGACACCAAACGAGCAGTCTGAAGATCGTATAGTGATCAGGAAAAATCCGCTAGGTGAAGATAAAAATCCCCTCCCGAGGATTTTGAGAGACACCTTAGGGATTTTAACAAAGGCTATTCCCTGGGGTCAGAAGCATTTTACCCACCTGGGGATTTGAAGACCTGACCCGGGGAATAGTAGTTGACGAGTTTTGTTGCCTTTTGGTTTCGAATTCTTTTCCTTCTCGGGTTTTTTATTAGTTTTATTTTTCAAGGCCTATGCAAAGGGTTGTAAACATGAGTTTTTAGGGCACATTTTGAACAATATTGATTTTATCTTGGTTCATTGAACATTTTGATTGTGAATTGTTCTCTGTATCAATCGTGTTTTCCCCTTGATTGTGGTCGAGATTCTACCCATATATTGATAGAGCCTTCTCCTAGGTGTGAGATTGCACTTCAAATATGCCTTATCCTTATCTTTTATTCATGTTCTTAGCTGCATTGCTTTGATAACTACGTGCATCGGTTCTGTGCTCGTATCAAGTGGTATCAGAGCTCTAAATCAATAGAGTGGCGAGGAAGACAGCGAAGATGCAAACCATGAAGCCAAACCTTGCAGACACCATGAAACAACATAGATGGTTCAGATGGGATCTATGCTTCAAACCATGGTTGAACAGTGATCGAGTTTGAGTTTGACTTCTTTGGCATAACAAAGTTCGAGTTCTGAGGAAGTCAGCTTTGAGCTAGAGGGCGAGTCAAAGGAACCCACCAATTCTGACGAGTTACTTGAAGACAACAGAGTGGTTTTTCCAACACTAGGAACTCCGGAGCAAAAGAAACTCGAAGAGATTGAACCATCGACCAACTATCCAGAATAGCAAAAGGAAGATGGAGATTTCTACGAGATGGCCACGATACAAAAAGATCATATGGTTTATCTCGATCTTTTTATGATTATTGAGATGATTTCTTATGTCGAAGCCTACAAGCTTTGAGGGAAAAGCTTTCCTGATGGGGAGGGAATGATGTAACTTGTAAGCACGCTAACCCTCAAGGAAGTCAATTTCTAAGCATTCCAAGTAGTGTTGAAATTGAGGAAGAAGGAAGTGTTGAGTTTGGCTAAGAGAATAAATAGCTTCGAGGTACCTACATTGGACGCTTACTCTTTCATATTGGGAGCTATTCGAGGGAAGCTAGGAGTTGGAGGTGAGAGTACAAGTCTTGTTGAACATCGTAGAAGTGTCAGGTGAGAAGATTGAAGTTTCCTAGACACCAAATGAGCAGCCTAAAGATCGTACAGTGATTAGTAAAAATCCCCTAGTTGAAGATAAAAATTCACTCCCGGGGATTTTAACAGGGGCTATCACCCAAAGTCAGAAGCATTTTACCCGCCCGGGGATTTGAAGACCCGACCCATGGAATAGTAGTTGACAAGTTTTGTTACCTTTTTGGTTTAATATTCTTTTCCTTCTTGGGTTTTTTCTTAGTTTTATTTTTCCAAACCTATTTAAAGGGTTGTAAACACGATTTTTAGGACAGATTTTGAAGAATATTGATTTTATCTTGGTTCATTCAGCGTTTTGCTTGTGAATTATTCTTTATATCAATCGAGTTTTCCCCTTGATTGTGGTCGAGATTCTACCCATGTATTGATAGAGCCTTCTCACATGTGTAATATTGCACTTCAATTCTGTCATATCCTTATCTTTTATTCCTATTCATAGCTGGGTTGTTTTGATAACTATGCACACCGGTTCTATGCTCGTATAAGTCCTCATATGAGGGTGTGTTTTGGAACGAAGAGATAGAAGTAACATTTTCTCATCTTTGATTGTTTTTAGGACTCAAACTCGTCTATTGTTGAGACAATAGTGTGAGAATTGGTGCTTGAGAGAGTGGACTAACGTCCAACACTTCACCTTTTATACTATTCCATCGTCTCAACCATCTCTTTCCCCACATGAGGGTGAGATAGGGAAGTCAATGTACTTTTGCTGTTAGCCACCAAAGAAAGATGCCTTAATTGCAAAGATAAAAGTGCAAGAGTGGTGCCATGTGCAGCAATGTTTAAGTTGAGGCTCGAAAGTTTGAGTTCTCTTTTGAAAAAGAAAGTAGAAGCAACACCATTGAGTTCTTTGCTTTTCACATGTTTTCTTGAGAGTCCCCCAGTGCACACGTGAAGTGTCTAGACCTCTCTGTCAAAATCCTCATCCAAGAGTGTGTTTTGGCATGAAGATGCAAGTAATGTTTTCTCGTCTTAGGTTGTTTTGAGGCACCACCAATGAATGATAGTGCATACCATTGTGATTGTCTTGCAAGTTGTACTGATTTGAGTAGGTTTGCTTGGGGACAAGCAAATGCTGAAGTGTGGGGGAGTTTGATTCGGGATAGATCGTACACTTTTATACCCCTTGTCTTACGTAGTTTGATTTTATTTAGCACCGTCCTTGGAACCATTTTACGCTAGGTTTGGTATTGCTTTGGCATGTTTCAGACTTTAGCAAGTAGAATGGTGAAATGATCGAAAGTCCAACAAAAGGGATCGAAAAGGGAGAAAAACCAAGGAAAGTGCAAGGATCACGGTTTGGCAGCAAATGTCACGGGTAGAAGACCGTAAAGATTACAAGGAAACCTTGAAGATTGCAAAGTTCCAGGAGCTTATTCATGCCTCAAGGGCATTACAAGGATCATGGTCCCAGACCGTGATGTCAGCAAAGAAGCCGTGAAGTGTGTTAATGAAACGGCGCACTTTGCGCTGAGATCACGGTTTTGTTGCACACCGGTTCTATGCTCGTATAAGTCCTCATATGAGGGTGTGTTTTGGAACGAAGAGATAGAAGTAACGTTTTCTCATCTTTGATTGTTTTTAGGACTCAAACTCGTCTATTGTTGAGACGATAGTGCGAGAATTGGTGCTTGAGAGAGTGGACTAACGTCCAACACTTCACCTTTTTTACTATTCCATCGTCTTAACCATCTCTTTCCCCACATGAGGGTGAGATAGAGAAGTCAATGTAGTTTTGCTCTTAGCCACCAAGGAAAGATGCCTTGATTGCAAAGATAAAAGTGCAAGTGTGGTGCCATGTGCAGCAATGTTTAAGTTGAGGCTCGAAAGTTTGAGTCCTCTTTTGAAAAAGAAAGTAGAAGCAACACCATTGAGTTCTTTGCTTTTCACATGTTTTCTTGAGAGCCCCCCAGTGCACACGTGAAGTGTCTAGACCTCTCTGTCAAGGTCCTCATCCAAGAGTGTGTTTTGGGATGAAGATGGAAGTAATGTTTTATCGTCTTCGATTGTTTTGAGGCACCACCAATGAATAATAGTGCATACCATTGTGATTGTCTTGCAAGTTGTACTGATTTGAGTAGGTTTGCTTGGGGACAAGCAAATGCTCAAGTGTGGGGAGTTTGATTCGGGATAGATCGTACCTTTTTACCCCTTGTCTTATGTAGTTTGATTTTATTTAGCACCATCCTTGGAACCATTTTACGCTAGGTTTGGTATTGCTTTGGCATGTTTCAGACTTTAGCAAGTAGAATGGTGAAATGATCGAAAGTCCGACAAAAGGGATCGAAAAAGGAGAAAAACCAAGGAAAGTGCAAGGATCACGGTTCGGCAGCAAATGTCACGGGCAGAAGACCGTTAATATTACAATGAAACCTTGAAGATTGCAAAGTTCCAGGAGCTTATTCATGCCTCAAGGGCATTGCAAGGATCATGGTCCCAGACCGTGAAGTCAGCAAAGAAGCCGCGAAGTGTGTTAATGAAACGATGCACTTTGCGCTGAGATCACGGTTTTGTTGCACAGTTCAAGGGCATGACGTGAAATCATAAAACGTGCACTTGCTAGCTATATAGAGGAGAGGGAGTAGAATTTTAAGGGGGTCTAGAGAGAGTTTGAAGTTCTTCTTTCACAACCTAGAGAGAGCTACTAACAAGGGACAATTAAAGGTGGAATTGATCTACCCAAGCAAACTTTATATTATTGGTTTGTATAGTTTTATTAGCTGTATGGTTTGTATACTCTTATTATGTGATTTGTTTACAAATTTTTTAGTATGGTTTGTATACTTTTATGTTATGGTATGTATAATTTGTATACTTTTTGGTATAGTTTATATACTTTATATTATTGGTTTGTATAGTTTTATCACCTCACCTGTATACTTTGTCATATTAATTTGTATAATTTTATTATAGGGTTTATATATTCTATATTATTAATTTGTACATTTTTATAAATTGATTTGAATAGTTTGTGTTATTGATTTGTATATATTCATGATCTGGTTAGTATGAGTTTTAGTATTTTTATGGTATGATTTGTACACTTTATATCCTTGTTTGTATAGCATTTAATATTGATTTGTACACTTTTATTACATGGTATGTGCCAAGAAGCAGTTGCTCCCAATAACTCGAGTTGTTGTTAGAAGTTCAGTTATGGATCTTGTAGCACTTACTAACATGCCCCCCGATCGAAAGCCATCATGTATGGCTTGAAGTATACACAGGTCTGAATATCATGTGCTTACCAGAACAAATGGGGTCATCGGGATTCGAACATAAGACATTTCGGTCCGAAAAGACTCTGATATTATGTCAAGAACCAATTGCTCTCAATAACTCGTCCAATGTCAATGATATTAGAATTACAATTTTACCCATATTACCATATATTTATTTATTTTGGTTGTTACTTTATTACCCTATCCAATTAGATCAAATTCGAAGGATATGGTTATTTTTTTCATTCTAAATTGGTGCAAAATTTTGGAATGAAATAATAATGCTTAATAATCTTGTTATCGTTTTGACAACTTTGACCAGATTCAGATTCATTCAACCCACAAATATGGGTAGTTCCCAAATGGAACTTTAGGTGAAAAATACCTCGCTCCACCCGTCTCCTTCCTCAGTCACAGCTGTTGTAGTGAGATTATTAATGGCGGGTCACATGATTCCTCCCAAAGGACCAGGATTGGGACGGGAAGTTAGGCAGCAACCGCCCATTAAATTAACAGCAGCGGCCGGGGCTTATCAGACGACCTTTTCTCTGCCCTCAGTTTTGTATTGTTTTGATAGTCGGGAAGCGATGAAAGCTCATGCAAGTCAAATCCCGTCTTCCTTCCCTGCTGTAGATAAAAACAAAACCCATAGGGATAGCAGATTGATACAGCTGCATAAACATTGATAAACCCGCAACCCGACAACACACCTCTTCTTCCTCCGTACTGCTTCTTCTGCTACTTCCCGTTCCTCTTCTTCATCTTCTTCTCCCGTTCTCTCTCTTTCCTCTTTATTCCTTCCTTCTTTCGTTTCCTACCAAATTCCAACTTCCTTCTTTCTCCCTCTGCCTTGTTGGTTTCTTTCAATTCTTGTACAAACTCGATCGTATTCCTCTCTCTAGAAACAAGGTGATCCTCTCTCTCTCTCTCTCTCTCTCTCTCTCTCTCTCTCTCTCTCTCTCTTAACTTTCTCTGTCTGATTCACTTGAATTGAATTCGTCGTATTAAGTTGATTGAGAAAGCTGATCAATTCTCTCAACTGGGTTGGTTTGTGCTCTCATTTTCCAAAATTCCTATCCTTGATATTAAAGAGGCAGTAGGACTATCCTCACCAATTCCCCTGTATATTTCTTTTGCTTTAATCAGAAACCTAGAGTTGGAAGATCCTTTCCATTTTTCCTATTTGTTCCTGCATGTGGTGCTTGTCACCTTCGTTTGAGTGTTTTCATTCCAGGAACTCAGCAACTGCCATGGCGGGGACATAAGACAGACAAAACTAGAATTGGGTTTTACTATTGATCAATCATTCATTATTTCTGGAGTTATTCTGCTCATATTGGTTGTCAATTCTTGTTTCTCAGCGTGGTGTTTGCTTGAATCCAGAATCGAAGCGGGGGCAGGGCAATCTACTTGAGAACCTTTTATGGAAGGGAAGCACCAACTGGATTTTGGTCTGCCACTTTTATCAGTAAGAAGGGTTCCATCACCCGCTGTTGTTGCGAAAGAGGCAGGCAGCAGGAGGAGCAGGAAACCAGCAGATGTCCCAAAGCTGCCACCACTTCCCTTTTACAAATCAGAGCTGAAATCAGGGCCAGTCGGGGTTCCAGGGTCGGTTCCTTTTGTGTGGGAGAGAAGCCCTGGGAGGCCAAGGAAGGAAACCAGCTCAGATTCCCTACCACCTCTCCTCCCTAGACTTCCTCCTGGGAGAAGGCCATTGAATGTCAAACAGGTTGCCTCAGATGCAGCCTCTGAAGGGTCATCGTCGCCAGCTGCTTCTTGCTCCAGGAATGGTGGCCTTTCCAGTGACCAGAATTCGCCTACTACAGTAAAGGCAGAAGAGAAATCCGGAAAAGTTATGGAGGAGACGAAGAGCTCCAATCTAGATGGTGATGGCATTGATGATGAAGAGACGTTCGTAGATGCATTAGATACCCTCTCAAGGACAGAATCTTCGTACTTGAACTGCAGCATAACCGGAGTTAGCGGGCTAGAGGGTCTGGATATGAGACCAACTAGGACACTCTCTAGTGATTTGCAGGCTAGGGAATTCATGATGGGTAGATTCTTGCCTGCTGCACAAGCTATGGCTTCTGAGAATCCTCAGTATTCTACGCAGTATCCCACTAAGAAACAGCCTGTTCTAAGAGAGCAAGCTAGACAGATTAAGACAATTGAACGTGTCGAAGAGGATCAGCTTCCTTCGAAAGGTTCAAGGGTAAACGTACTACCATACCATGCTCAAGTTGATAATCCAAAAGAGGATGATGATGATGATGATGATGATGATTACAGCGAACCTAATGCTTCTTCGCTTGGAATTTGTGGGTTATTGCCTCGGTTTTGCCTCCATAATTCTTTGAGTCTACTAAATCCTGGTCCTAGGATTAGAAAGCCGGCTCATATATCCGCTTCTTCGGTCAGGACAAGAAGCAGCATCGGAAATAAGGTATTCATGTGTATCTGCCTCATTCTTGACTTTCAACGTCTTTTTTCCAGTTACAAGTTGCTTTGAAACGAGCACTAATGCTGGGACCTTTTTTCTTGTTCTTCCTAGTATGATCAGGCTGCTGCTTATGTAAGAAGAATACCTTATGAAGCTCAACCGTGCAAAGAGCCGCAGAGTAATGCTGGATGGTCACATCATGAGCCATCTCAACCTCCGGCCTCTAAAACACAAGGTTTTCTTGGAACTCCTAACAAATATAAGGATTCAGAGACAATGGGTTCTATTCTATCCGTTAAGGAAGTCATCAGTTTCGGCGAACTATTAGCCAATGATGATATAGAATGGAAATCAGGCTCTGGAAGTCCTGTTGTTGAGAAAACCCTGTATATCGATTCTATACAGGAAGTAACGCAAATTGAAGATACAGACTCTACTTCCTCGGATAAGAAAGGTTCAGCCAGTGACAAGGAATTCAAGGAAACAGTTTCTGTGGATGGTTCATTGCCAAAGGCTAAGCAATCGAAGCCCTTGAGTAAAAAGGAAGAAGAAGAGCTTGAGCAATTTGGATCTTTTGGCTCTTGTTATCTTTCATTTTCCGACAATGAAGTTCAAGTGGACGTCCGGCGCGATCAAGAGCTTATTCTTGCTCCTGCTGCGTTGACGATGCCAGCACTCGATGAAGATGGCAACAAAAATAATAGTGTGTGGCCAGTAGTCAGCAAGGGAGATTCTCAAGGACCACTGAAGCAGTCTACCAACTTGATAAGGCAAAAGCTGGCAGGTGACAGAGGGAAGGACGATTCGCAAAACCAAAATAATACAAGGCCAAGTCAACAGAAACCTTGTTATGGAAACTCACTTAACCCTCTTGCACCACCTTTACCGAAATCTCCTTCAGAGTCATGGCTGAAGAGAGCTTTGCCCACTGTCTCGTCAAAAACACAGCTGTCGAAGTCTTCCCTTGGCATTCTTGGGGATTCAAAGGTTGAGGACTCCATTACAAAATCCTACTCAGGTAAAACCTGGGAAACGATTGTTAAATCTTCTGGCGAGAGGAACAGGCGATTTCAGGTATCAGAGGTAAAACAACACTAAGAACCCCCTGGACCACAATCACCTTCCTTAGTTTTTTCTAATATGAGTTTCTTGGTAAGTGCTTTTCCTAACATAATAACGTTCTTGTCACCAGGGCCAACTTACAGCCATACCAGAAGCCTAAGAGTTAAAGGGTCAAGTCGCCTTTCTGCAGCATATGTTGTATATCAGGTTTGTTGGGTGCTGACAGATGAAAGCACAAGGAAAGTGGGTTTCAGCTAAATAATTACAGTATAAAAAAAATGATAGAATCTTTTTCTGGCTTTGAAAGTTGAATTATTTGGAATGATAGAATCTTTGTTCTCTGTAAAGCATAGGAGGGGCAATCTTTGTAGCTGTATGTAATGAGATTAGGAGAATAAAAGCGGGGGCGGGTGTATATGATCTGTAATGCATGTTGCTTAGTTTTTAAGAGTGAAATAATGAATACAAGCAATGATTGTATACTTTTTGCTGTCCTGTGTGTCCCAAAGAAAAGGATGACGCTACTGCTGTATTATTGTTATTGGGCAAAGCCCCTGGCGGCTTTCTCTTCTGTGTGGGTCAGAGGAATGGCAAGATGGAAGGTGGATGAATTGTCGTATGATGTTTTGGTAACTTGTCATTTCTGTAAGTGGAAAGTGATTGAGAAGTGTCACGCAGCTATTAAAGTTTTCCATCTTTCCTTTTGCTATTAGTATAAAGTTCAATTCCATTTCAGTATTTTTCTCACCCTATTCTTCTGTAGGGCGGAGGGAGAGTAGAACAAGGTCGATCCTAAAATTTATCTTAGCTTTGAAGAATTGTAAGTGTAGGTCTGCTTAGCTTGCTACCCTTCTTTCTATAGTGTCACAGTCGAGTTTCAACCATTTATGTCAATCAGCCGGGTTTTCAGAATGGGTTCAATGCAGTTGTTGATTAGTCGGGTTTTGGTTTTATCAGGTTGCGGATTAGTCGGGTTTGAGTTCTTTGAGTTGCGGTTTAGTTGGGCTATGAGTTCATCGGGTTGCGAATTAATGGAGTAGTGGGTCAATCAAGCAGGGTTGTTTGGATTATGGACATGTCGGGTGTGGGTCATTGATGGATGGATGATAGTTGATTATGTGAGAATTGAGAAAAGAAGAAGAAGAATCAGGGTTGGGGTTCGTCGAACAGAAGAAGAGAGGGGGATTAGGGTTGATTATTCTTATCAAAATATGCTTAATGAATTCCCAAACAAATAAGCCATTACATAAACCAGTCCCGCTACTGTTGGTACTTCGGGTTGGTTTTGGGTCGTCGGTCGGACCGGCGAACTGGCTCGGTCGTGCCTCCATCAGTCATTCAGGTTACGGGTCGATTGGGTAGAGGTTAATCGAGTTGCGAGTCAGTTTGGTAGGAGTCAATATGATTGTGGGTTCGGGTTATGTACAGGTCGAATCGCAAATTGTTCAAGTCAATCCATTGGTTACTTCTTATTTATTGGTTATCACACTGATATAAAACAAAAAATTGTGTGAACAATTTTTTTAATTAAAATAAAAATATTTGGATGGGGTGGGGGCTGGGGTGTATTCCACCTCCATTTACAATTAGCCCATCATTATCTAAATTTATGAAGACAAGGTAAAAATATAAGGTTAATTTCAATAGAAAGTTAAAACTATTATAAAAGTGTTATTTGTGTTATAAACTATTTAATATGACAAATCTGGCACAAATTATATGTATTTCGTGACATTTGTGTACTAAACTATTCAATATGACAAATTTGGCACAAATCACATCGATATTGAATAGATTTTATGTTAAATACTAACGGTCAACGCCGGTCAATATTAACGAAAAAATAGTTCGTACCAAATTTTTCATATTGAATAGTTTAGGACACAAATGACACTTTTTGAATAGTTTGGGCTTTCTAATGGAATTAGCCCAAAATATAAAGACTAAAACTTAGAAACATGAAAATATAATACTATTATGTGAAATCTGTTCATAAATATATCTAGAATATATTCTAATTATATTGTACTTGGAATAAACCTATTATGTCATTAATCATATTTGGGATGACGAGTTACAGGTTCTCAAATCTATCATAGTGAATTAGTTAAGCTCTATAAAGCTACAATAAGGTTTATTGTGACAACGTCATAGTTACTAAATGTTTACTCATAAACTATCATTTGTAAACAACGTGATAATCAAATTGGTAAGTAATTAATTATATTATCTATAATGTCAAATAGTCTATATTTAATATGGTTGAGTGACATTATTGAGATAAGATAACTCTTGATAAGTTCTTAGATATACTATAGCCAATTAGTCATAAGTCATAACCTAAAAAGTTATAATAAGGTTTTGGTATAGAAAATGTCTTTAGTTACTAAATCTTAAACTAAACCATCATATTGTGATAACCCAATTGGTAAGAAATTAAATATATTATATATTGTTTGTGCCTCGATACCACCGAGCGCTTATCCTTCCCCTTTACACTTTTCCGTCACCCGGGCGCCTGGAACCTGCACCCACAAGCGCCTAAGGGCCTTGGTCGACCCGTTAGCACTCCGAAGCTCAAGTCAGTGCACTTTTCTAGAGAGATAAGTGCTTCAGAGTAGTTTTTGTGAGAGAGACCAACCTGTGTAAATGCTATCGTCTGCCCCTATTTATACTCACCGAACCCGAGGTTGATCTCCGCCACGTCACCTCCCGCATTCAATGCTTTGCGCCCCCAGACAGCTAACCGCCCTGTCAGACTCCTGACACCTGACTGGCATTCCACAGCTCTGCCAGGCTCCTGACACACGACAGGCGCCCGCAGGCCGTGGTCCACCATCCAGTTGATCGCCACCTGGCTTTTGATGCTCTATGTGACAGCTAACCGCCCTGTCAGACTCCTGACACCTGACAGGCGCCCCTGGCCGTGGTCCACCAGCCGGTTGGCCGCCACCTGGCTCTTGGTACTTTATTCTTTTGGGCTTTGTCCCCTAGCTCGCTGGGTAATACCCCCAACAATTGCCCCCCCCCAGTTAGGTGCTCGTGGCTTCGCCATCGAGCGCCTGACTGAACCTCTAGTTGTAACCTAGCCTTCTGCTTGGTTGCAGGGCGCTTGACACTCGGCGCCTGCATCGTGTTCTCACTTTTTTCTTGGTCCTACGAGGTGTGTTTGCTTCTCCTCCTCTGTGGTCAGACGTCCCGCCTTTGGCAGTGTCCCTCATCGAATACTCTTCCAAGCGCTCCTGTGCCTCTTGCCTGCCGAGGCGCCTCTTATCTAACGGGACGCCCTTTTGACTAACCCTTCCTTTCGGGCGCTTCATGGTGTCGTTCTTGAGGAGTGTCTTTATCCCTTATGCCCCCCTCACCCACGCTATGCTTGTCGGGGAAATTTGGAGAAAAGAAAATTCGAAATTCGAAATTCGAAATTTGGGAGTTGAGAAATTTCCCCGAAAAGGAGAGGGTGGGGGAAGCTCAAAGGTCCGCCTGTGATTTGGTGGCTCGCGAAGAGACCTAAAGGTGGGGGAAGTGGAAGGGTTTCCTTCGGCATGACTGACACGTGTCATGCAACGGGTGAGCCTTCGTTTTTCTTTAAATACCCCTCCCCCCTTGTGATGCTGTCACTTTCTTCTATTTGTCCTCTCTCTAGAATCTTGCTCTGACTTCTCTCTAGCTTCCGCGCTGACTCCTGTCCTTTTTCTTCTCTGCTTTTCGCGTCCAATACTTCACTCTCGTCCAAAAGATGTCGTCTTCACACCCAGACAAGACTTCTGCACCCGGCGCCTCGGGCGCAGGCGCCTCCGGCGACGGTGGTGAAGCAAGGCGCCCAGTTCAACGTGGTAAGTGGTCTTTTCCTTTCGTTGATTTCGTTGAGTTTTATTTTCCTTTCTTCTAGCCACTTAGGGTAGGGGCGTCACTTACCCCTTGTCCGCGTTGCGTCTGGGTCATTTGTTGGTTTAGAGCGGGCGTCTGCTTCTTCGTCAGCTGGGCCGTCAAGTTCATCGGCGCCTGGCTTCTTACCCGCCGACGGGTCATACAAGATCACGTCGTGGGAGAAGTGTTTCCCACCTGATCATTTGCCCACCGAGACGTCGCACTTGTCATTTGAGGTGGCCGGGCCCAACCACACATCGACCATCACCCTGGACCAGGTTCATGAACTGGTGACCAGTCTCCAGCTTCCCAGAGACTGGTGGTATGCGCCTCCATCGCCCATATCCCGGGTGGGCGTCTGTGGCCCCAAGTGGATCGGGCTCTACCAGGAGTACTTTCGTTTCGGGCTTCAGTTTCCCCTGGACTCGATCATGGAGGGAATTTTGACGACATGCGCCTGTCCTCTCGGGCGCCTATCTCCTTCGGTCATCACGGTTGTCATCCTCTTCAAGTTGAAGTGCCGAGAGCACAACGTGGAGCCCACCTTCAACTTGTTCCGACACTTCTTCAAGATGGTGCCTCTGGACAACTGCTTATCCCTCCAGAAGCGCAAGAAGAAGAGCTGCCCTCATCACTTTGTCCAGAAATGCCCTAAGTTGAACCGAAGCTGGTTCAACGGGTTTTTCTTCGTGAAGGCCTATCAAGACTCCTTCTTTGCCAGTGGGGGCGCCTTTATGAGGAAATGGGGGTTAGGCCAGGTCGATGACTTCAATAAGCCGGTGGTTTTGACGGCGTCTGAGAAAGCCGGCGCCTCCTTAATTTGCGAGGGGGAGCCTGTTGACTTACGCCCCGCAGAGAATCGTCCTCCAATTATTGAAGCTTATTATAACAATGGTGTGTAGGCGTCTAGGTGTTCTGCTTCCTTATCCTTTTGTTTGCGTTATGTACTAACTTACTTTTGTCATATGCAGGGGCGGACTACTCGAGCATTGCCAAGCTCATGAAGAGCAGGCTGGCGGCAATGGCTGCGGAGGCGGCTGCTGCAGCATCTTCCCCACAAGAGGCGCCTGCTCGGCCAGAGGCGCCTCTTCAACCGGAGGCACCCGCAACCCAATCACAGGCGCCTCCAGCCGGCCCCAAGAAGAGGAAAGTGAAGAAGAGGGCGGTGAAGGGTGGCACCGCTCAAGCGCACACGGCAAGTGTGGCGTCGTCCGCCCCGGAAGAAGGCGAGGGGACGCCTGATGCCGACCCCGCGGAGAAGGAGGTTAACTCCGCTGAAGAGGAGGAAGAAGATGAGCCTTTGCTCCGAAAGGGGAAGAGGGCGGGCTCCCCCCTAACCTCGGCCAGCAAGAGAGCTGCCCGAGGAAAGAAGAAGGTGGGCGAAGAGGACGCCTGCGAGGAGGACGCCTTCGACGAGGTGGAAGTGGAGGCGGAGACTGTGGAGGACGCCCGCATTCACTTGAATGAGGAGGGGCGCTACGTTGGCCCCGATGGGCGCCCCCCCATCTTCCGGCCACGGCGCACCGAGGTGGGACGGGTCAATATGAACTGCTCCCCCTTGGTCGCCGTGGACCGAGGGTGTGCCATGGGCTTGGCAATCGCGGCCGCCAAGTCCTGGCAAATACCGTCCGAGGTGACCAGTGATCACCATTTTGCTGAACTTGCCCAAGTGGGCGCTAAGGTATGCCACTTTGTACTTGTATTTTCAGATCCTTCTTACTTACTATTTTGCACCACTTGCTGACTCTTTTCCAATGTTTGCAGATCCTTCTTTTTGCTGAAAGGGGCGCCCGACGCCTCAATGAG